TGATTCAGTGTGAATGCGATCGATTTCTTTTCTCGTGGGATTTTAATTGCAATTTTAGATTAAACTAATAGCGCTAACGAACGAGGAACAAGAAATGTAAATAAAAGCTTTTTTTGCGAAACACCCTCATATGTTTATCCCAGCCACACGCGTTTGGTAACCGGAGAAAGAAAGAGAGAGAGAGAGAGAGAGAGAAGTGCACCGGGGTTAGAATGATTTTGTACATGGCCGATCGTTACTCGCGGCAAAGATCGGGAGAAGATTGTTTCCTACGAGAGAAAATAAATTGACATTATAGAATAGATTCTTTTCACCTAGATCTGCGCTTCGTCTGTTTCTATTTCTTTTAGACACGCATATAATTACACCTGTTCGTTAGAATTGATCGAATCCTTCAAATGAATATATTTGCCGACAGAGAAGAATCTAGTAAATCTTTCATCGATTTTTCGACGCCGATGTATTATGTAGCACGAGTCCGAGCTCTAGTACCAGCGGAACGTAAACTTCTAATTTCTTTAATTTCGGCGGGAATCGAGTTAACCGTTCGCGACCTGATTATAAAGCAAACCGGAGGAGCACGCGTTTTTCTTTGCTTGATCCTGCCTTTGTTTAACTTGTAATTTCAATTAGAGGGAAACGAAGGGAAAGAATCCATTAAATTTCTATGTCAGCCGACGTCGAGATGCAAACAAAGCAGTCCTGCGTTATGAATAATGTAAATAAAAAGAGAAACATTATGGCAGATTGTCGGAGACTCTTTGGATAAAAAGGGTCGACTTTGTTACTCGTAAATGAAATTTTGTTACCGAGATCTGTGCTTATATGAAAGTGTCGAAAAAACAATTAACGACTGCGCGTCGGTTGTAAAATAATAAACGGATTGGGAACCGATAAAGTCGATAACCTGCATCGTTCGATCGTTTAGATGATAATTAACTCGGGTGATCAAGGTTCCAGTTTATTTAGTCCGGATGAATTCTAATGGTGTTTACGTTGCGAGGAGAGATGTAGAAATATTTGGGTACACTGTGTATCTTTTGATACACTTTTCGAATAGCTGGAGGCTATTTACTAGCAGAATAACGCACCGAAAATGTAAGGACGGATTATTTACTAAATTTGAGATAACATTCTATACGTAACGAGGAATTTTTTATTGTTCTGTATAATATGTATTAATAAAGTTGAATATAGAAAAATCTGAATGGGTTTCTTGAGCTGAGGAAATTCTTGAAATTTTGGAAAATATGACAGTATACGCCATCTGTCCACGGTGTGTTGAGATTATAGTAATGAGTGCAGTAAAAGTATTGAATACCAACGGTCGATTACAATCTTAATTATATTATTGCAGTTTGAATAATTTTAGTATTTAAAACATATGAGAAGGTAAGAAGGAAAATGATTTTTTATTTTATAGTAATATTTTATATTCAGCTACTGTCGAGGTTTAACAATATATTTATATATTTAATATATTTAAATATTATTCTATATTAATTATATATTTAATGAAATATTTATACAGTTGAAGGAATTTCATTAGCAATTTATTTTAAAATATTACTGTCTTGTTTCATTGGATCTAAAACACATTAGATACCAATTACAATTTCCTTTGTTGTAAATTGTCCTTAAGGAAGGTTAGATTAAATTACATATTTTAATCTGTACACGTGCAATTCGACGAGGAATGTTGTTTTGATCAAAGAATTTGCTTAATTGTAGCTTCTTCTCTAGCCTTAGAAATTTTGCAATTTTATAATGTTCCGTCCATTCCGAAATGTTTAACTGAATTCCAGCTTTGTTTACAATTAAAGATTTATATACGTTCAAACGGATTCTTCTAAAATCATGAAGGTAACCGCCGTTGAGGGGGATTGTTAAAATTTGTATAAACATTATTTTTGCATTTGCCACGTGTTGCTTAAAATCCGCGCCAAAATGGGGAGAGCGATTTTTGAAATAATCGTAAATAGAATAGGTGTTTGCACGAGAGCGTTGCCGAAACACCGGAAATGTCTTTCGGTTCTGTTCCCGCCAAAGCGACCTGTGCTAAGCGTTAGAATGCTTATCCTTTGACTCGAGATCATTCGCATCATATCAGATTTATTCGGAAATACGGCTCAAAGGAATACTGTTAAGAAAACGATACTTTCAAACGGTCCTCGTTAAAATCCAATCATTCAGTGAAAATTCTAATTAAATAACATCAACGATGGCCAAAGTTCAGCTAGCGAATGTGGCTGTTCTCGACAATCCTTCGCCGTTTTTGAACCCGTTTCAGTTCGAAGTTACGTTTGAATGCATCGAAGAATTAAAAGAAGGTACTGCTCGTAATCTTTCATTCATATCTATAAATATAAGTACGCGTTTGCGTTCGCGTTACTTGAAACAAAAGTATTTCTTAATCTGCTGAATGCCCTACTAGGTTAGTTTAAACCTACGTGTGTATTTTCCAAGGACAAATAAATATATCACAATTTTCAGTTTCCCTCTAGAGTGGTGGAATTCGTTTTATTTTGTAATATCGATTCGATGAACTAACTGTATCATTAAAATGCATGATGTTATATAGTGTACTAATGATAACAAAATTACAGATTTAGAATGGAAGATGATCTATGTCGGCAGCGCCGAATCCGAGGAATTCGACCAGGTTTTAGACACAATATATGTAGGTCCAATCCCAGAAGGAAGACATATGTTTGTGTTTCAGGTAAATTAACAGAATATGTAAGCAATAAATTTCATTTAAAATACAACCGTATAATACCATTTGTAGTTTATATTAAACAATTGTATTAAAAAATAAATTGCTATTTGAATATGTGTTTAATGTTTAATAGAAGTATTATAATTTCAGGCTGATCCCCCGGATGTCAGTAGGATTCCGGTTAATGATGCTTTGGGAGTTACAGTTGTGTTATTAACTTGTTCATATAGAGGTCATGAATTTGTACGTGTCGGCTATTTCATAAATAATGAATACACGGACGCAGAGCTTAGAGAAAATCCACCACCACAACCACAATTCGACAAAGTACAACGAAATATCTTAGGAGATAAACCACGTGTCACTAGATTCAAGATAAATTGGGATGATGGAGCGAGTTCGACAACAAACAGTGTGCCAGAGGGGATGGATGCACAAGCTTTAGAAGAAACATCGCAGGATGCACCGACATCCACGTTGGGTTTCACAGAAAATACACATAATAGCATGGAAGTAATGTGAATATTAGTTGATTTCTAATATTGTGTGAACAGATAGACTCTGTAACGCAAGGAAAGAAGTAGTACCTGGAAAAAAGAATAAAATGGAAAGAAGGTTCATATATTTGGATACATCAAAGAAGAAATGTTAAAAGATATGGGTAGCCTTTTGTATGTTGTACATTAATTAATTTTGCTTTATCAAGAAGAGAAGATCTCATAGATTGGAAAGAAGTTACACGTGATAATGTCAAACTTCTATGGGAATGATGTTAATGCTTATTGCTGGTATTCTGTGCATAAATACTTGCATTGGAGAACAATCAAGAATAAATTATAACATGTTACTACGAATTT